GGGACCCGGGGGTGGGGGCACCGGTACCCGGAGGGTGGGGGGACCCGGGGGCGGGGGGGACCCGCACCGCGGGGGCTCCCAGCTGCAGGCGGAGCTTGACCGGCTGGTGTCTGGCCCTGGGCTCCTCTTGGGTGCCCTCAGCAGGGAAGTTCCCCGGGTACCTTGTTAGCGGTGTCCGTGTTCTGCGGGGGTGACCCCTCGGGGCTCTGACCGCACGTGCCAGGGCTGCCCCGCTCGGCTTGTCATGCGACGTGCGCTGCTTTGCTCGGCAGGGCTCAGCTTGGAAAAGATCGCGGCTTTCACCAAAAAACTGGCGTCAGAGCCGCAGTTCTTGCTGGCCCGAAATGTTGCAACCACCACTGACCCACTGGAGGTGTGTCTCGACCGGCAAGTGGTGCAGGAGACGGTGCACGTGTTCCAGCATACCGTGCCTGCAGAAGGCAAGCCGGTCACTAACCAGAAAAACTCAGGTAAGGGAAAGTCTCTGCAAGCCCCAGACTTCTCAGATAGGCTGTTCCTTGACTGATTGTAAAGCAAAACCTTTATTAACTATGGCAGCATAAATCTATGAACCAAGTTACATTTACAGTGGATGTCTGGTGCTATGATTTAAATTGCCCTTTCATTATGAAACCTCACCTGGAAGAGTTCTTGCTATTTCTGAGTTCATACTGTATCACCTCTGCTCCTTATGCGTGTGGAAATAGTGACTGACATACGAAGCCCTTTGAGGTTGAAATTATTCAAACAGAACTCGGAGAGAAATGTCACTCTTCCATAGTTCGGAAATGACATTGGTCTGAGGTCTGAAATTTGATGTGGTCTTGGATCACTGCCAAAAAAGCCTTGCTCAGTCACTGGAACTGTGACAGTTTTAAGGTCTCCTGGTTTAAGACCGTAGATAGTAATTTGTTTTTAACATTTGAAGGTTGATAATCACTGATATATTTTTAAGCTGTCACTCAACCTACAATGGATTTAGCAGACAGAGAGAAGTTCTTCAGAACCAGTAGCTTCCCCCTCTCTTCCCCCCCCCCCTCCGCAAAGGTTCTAAATCAGGGGTGGGCAAACTTTTTGGCCTGAGGGCCACATCTGTGTATGGAAATTGAAATTCTGGGCCATGAATGCTCAGAAAATTGGGGATGGGAGTGAGGGCTCCAGCTGGGGGGGCAGGCTCTACGGTGGGCTAGAAATGGGGAGTTCAAGATGCTGGAGTGGGCTCCAGGTTGGGGCAGGGGGCTGGGGTGTGGGGGAGTGTGTGAGCTCCAGCTGGGGGTGCAGGTTCTGGGATGGGGCTGGGGGTTTTGGGGTGCAGGAGGGTGCTCCAGGCTGGGATCGAGGGGTTCAGAGGGTGGGAGGGGGATCAGGGCAGGGGATTGGGGCACAGGAGGGGTTGAGGGGTGCAGGTTCCAGGCTGAGTTTACCTCAAGCAGCTCCTGGAAGCAGCGGCATGTCCCCCCTCCAGTTCCTACATGGATGCACAGCTAGGCAGCTCTGTGCGCTGCCCCATCCGCAGGTGCTGCCCCGCAGCTCCCATTGGCCGGGAACCATGGCCAATGGGAGCTTCGGAGGTGCCGCTTGGGGCAGGGGCTGTGTGCGGAGTCCCCTGGCTGCCCCTACACGAAGGAGCCGGAGGGG